TTTATTGGTATTTCTTGGTGTCAGATCAGTATTGTGATATCTGCCATCACACAAAAGTTTGTATTCACTGAAAACACTGAGAAATTGTTCTAAAAACATTTGAAAACCGTCATAAATTAAAGTCCAGGTCGACAAGCGCTCTCTTTTCATTCAAAAGTAAATATTCTATATGAAAAACCTTGGGAGAAATTGAGACTGCAAATTGAACTGACTATCAGGCAGTTTGCAAATCCTTAGAGTACATTTCAGTTTCGGAAACAGACGCTGATCTTGTGTCTTTTACAGTGAGATACTGTAAAGTACACAATCTGATAGAACAACTTGTATTTGTGCATATCGTGTGCGTCTCGAAAAATTACTCCCGGTCTATTACTCCCAGATGAGCGAGTTTTTATCTCAGTCGTCATTTCCCCTCTCTCCGTCTCTGTCTCTGCCTCTGCTCCTGCTGCTCCTGCTGCTCCTGCTGCTCCTGCTGCTCCTGCTGCTCCTGCTGCTCCTACTGCTTGGGCCGCTGCTTGTGGAGGAGGGTACACAGTGTGGCTCTCTGGGACACATTCTTCTGTTTTGCTCGTTCAAGGTCACTCCTTCTCAGCAGAGATATGAAACACTGTGTCCACAAAAAAAACATCAACCTGTTTTCCTTTTGTTGCCTCCATGGGCTGTTCCCCTAAAGCAGTGGGAAAGCAAACAACATGGAGCCATTAGTCAGTTGCTCAGTTTTTATTGTTTAATGTATTTGATGATGTGACCGAAGTTCTAATGATGACCCAAGAAAAAATAATAAACTACAACAAAAATGTTTTACTTAGTTCCCTGCTCTCAAAAATGCAATTGGTTTTAAGACTAGATGCAGCTCATTCATTCATTAAAGCCTAGCGTACATCGACAGAGTAACTGGAGACAACTAGTTGCAAGGCGGCTTTTGGCAACTGAGAGGAGATGATGGAGATGATCAGTTGAAATCGGTCGATGTGAGCGCTCTGTTTTATGACTGTTTTATGTGAGATAAACAGTCGATCTCCGGATTCAGTCAGTTGCTCGTGTTCTACTTTTCGGTAACTAGTTGTACTCAGATCCGGAGATATCACCCGATGTGCTCCAACAACATGTGTGTATTGCGTGTATTGCGCGACCTCTACAGTTTATGCCAGATAACACACTGTAGTTGAGGCCAGTTGCTGTCAATGTACGGGCCCGAGACTGGCCTGCTACTGGGAGTTGCCCGTTTTCGTCACATTGTAAATGTGTGCGGGGCAGCAACTCATATGCGACGGATATAATCAGTTGCCAGTCTGATGTACGCTAGGCATAATGTAGCCAAAGCGCTCTCCAGTGTCCGTGTCTCACCTGTCACGCACCTGCAACTCACTACCAGCCGTGGCTGCATACTCAGTTAAACCTCAAGCTATTTTTCATGCAGCAACCCACCTCCTCCACATCACTGCCTAATAAGGGGAGGAATTGTCATGTTGGCTCAGCTTCCACCATCTCCTGCAAAAATGTCCAAACCGTATGGATCATTCCATGTTCCAAATTCAATAAATGAATAGTACCACATCATCATCTCTGTCTTTCCAGGTAAAATGCAATGATAATGTCGTATGCAGTGACTCACAGGGCTCTTCCATACATATATGCTAATGCTGTTTTTACTAATGTTTCTTTTCTGATTTGGTATGTTTTATTTTTACAGGGACAGTGTACAATAAAAATTAGCCAAAAGGAGAGATGCATTGTACCAGGTTGTAGCAGCAGTGCTAGTTTACACCTGTAGTCCCTGAGCAGGTTGATTTGATTTGTCTTAGGTATCCCAGCTTTTAGGAAAGCTTCTTACACAGAAAGCTTTTTTCATGTAAATGTTATGTTTGTTTTAGTTCATCATTCATCACAGAGAAACTTCCAAAAGGACCCTGAGACATTTTAACTCTCATCCTAGAATATTTTGTATAAACTGGGAGTAAACTACATAATGTTGATTGTGATCAAATAAAATCAAAATAAGAAATCAATTGCACTATTGCACTTGAACTACAGTATTGATAGACTGTACAAAACAATTTGTTCAAATAATTATTCAACTCCCACTACCGTATATACATGCATGGATAAAAGCTGGAGAATAGTTCATTGTATGCACCTAATGTTATTATAAATATGTATTATAATTCCAGCTGTAACCTAAACAGACCTTTGGTTCAAAATATCAAAACCTCCTAGTTTATCTCAATAATAATAAAAATAATAATAATGCATCAGTTTTATAAACGCTTTTTTGGACACTCAAAGACGCTTTACATGTCATTATTCTCTCTCTCCAAACACGGTGGTGATAAACTACTACTGTAGCCACAGCTGCCCTGGGGCACACTGACAGAAGCGAGGCAACCAGTATGTGCCATCGGCCCCTCCGACCACCACCAACCATTCACACACACACCAGACTCCTTCTAGACAATGGGGGTAAAGTGTCTTGCCTAAGGACACAACAGCAGTTTGGCACTTTACAGCTGCAGCCGCCCCACTGTGGCTGGTGTTCCCAGAGGTTAAGTGTCTTGCCCAAGGACACAACAACAGCAGACAGTGGGAGTCTGTACTTTGTTTGTTCATTACAACATGAAAAGAAACCAAAGAAAACTGCCGGTTATAAATGATTCATGGTCATATTTTATTGTATAAAATCAACTGTAGAATAAATAAATCAGATAACAGCTGTGGATGACTCATATCAGCGTTTTCATGACACAGTCCTGAAACAGTGTGTCCAAACAAACTGAAAGAACAGCAGGAGGAACATGACTCAGAAATGAACGGTAAAGATTAAAATATTTCACTTTTAATCATCTCTATTTAGGACATTGATAATATACTTTGTTCATTAGGGTCAACATTCAAACACAACATTTATATTGATATGTGGCGAGAGCTCTGGTGCACACTGGGGTAGTCTTGCACAGTTTTTCCAATGTGGTTTTACTGCAAATGGCAAATAAATTCTTGTATCTTGTATCTGGTATTGTGCAACAATTTGCATAGACTGAAATCAAATTCTTGCATTTATCAACTTTAATCCATGAATGTTTTATTCAAAGGTCTCCCACACAGTATTGCATATTTACAAAGGGCAGAACTCATAACATCGGCTGCTACTAGAAAATGTGCCTGATTTCTTCACATAAAAATCTATTTATGGAGATTATGCTTGGCGTCAGAACAATAATACTCATACTCGCTGCCTGCACACACATACACACACACATACACACACACACGCACACACACACACACACTCACACACACACTCACACACACATTTAATTAGCTTGAGCCGTGGACTGAAAAGAAGATAATACACAAAACACAAGTTACATTTAACTATAAAACAGGTCAGTGCGTGGCCCAGACTCCATACGTTACACTACGCCCTGTACATAAACTGCTACAAGGCTTTTACTTTGAAATACACTCTGCTCGCCCCAAAGAAAAACAATTGTACGCCTTTTTAAATGAAGCCTATTATTCAAAAGCTGAATGGTAGAATTCTACAATTTAGTAAAACAGTGAAAATAACAATGTATATCAAAAGTAATCACAACTCTATCTGACAGAAACAAACAGTTTACAGCAGAGCATTTCCCACGGCCGACATGTCAGAGGAAGTAGTTTATCAGAGAGAATTAAAATGGATCCATACAGTAAAAAATGAGAAGGGGTGGGACAAAGTATAGAGCTGAGGGGTGATTATCTGGCAGTATTTCTCAGTCACACTGCAAAAAATGAGGTAATAATTGCTTGAATCAAATGTTTTTTTTATTATAATTTGAGTACATTCTGACTGTCTTAAAACAAGATTTGCCCATAGGATAAAGGTAATTCTCATTCCAAGGGAGACATGTCTTGTATCTTTTTGAAACAAGAGCATTTTGCTCGTCCTGTTGGCCAATCTTGGTTTAAGGCAGTCAGAATAGGCTCAATTTAACACCCTCTTTGCCAAATTTGAGCAATTTTTGAGTTAAAGTTAACACTTATCTTTCAGAAAGACTCAGTCCTAGCTCTGCGCTGGTTGGAATCTAATTTGAAGGCAGGATTTCTTCTAATTAAATGTTTACAATGAGTTTAGTTCAGTCGACTCTGCTGTTGGAAGTGTGTATGACTTACAGTAATTGTGTACACATGCATTAGGTCATTATTTTTCAATTTGTGTTTAAAATTTTACAAAAATCATCAATGTTTTGCCATATTATTGTTTTTAAAAGTCACTTCCTAATTTTAGAATGATGACATCACACATCATCAATAGAGATTACTTATTATATTACACAGAGAAACAACATACAGTAATGTATCTCACTTACATTATTATTGTTTGACAGAGAACGAATAAAAAAATATTGATTATTTTATAAAATTCAGAAGGTCGGAAAAAATACTTTTGCATATAATTTGTCCTAAACAACAATAGAATGCAGTGCCTCCCTGTGATGTCATCAAAGAACTTTCTGTGTTCACTATTGTTGATTGTTATTGACACATTTTCTTTTAAAAACTGGAGCAAAACTTTTGTATATATTTTCAAGTAGATACAAACCTACAAAGTCAATACCATATAACCCCCCCCCCCCAAAAAACTCTTTAGAATTGTCTATTGGACTTTTCAGTGTGACATAATTCCTCAATGCTGGACAAAAACCCAAACAATATAAACAAGACTTACATGAGAATAGAAAGTAGACACAGTGATAATGTGTTAAAAGAAAGAATTAATCCGATGAGCTGTGATTTAATCGATGAGATCTCGCCTGTGTCCGTATTCGCCGTGTTTGAAGCCGTCACTATAAAAAAAAACATACTCCCAAATGGATGGTTTCTTCTCTTGAATCTGCATTGTCTGAATAATGTAGTTTCTCATTAACACAAAGACTGCCCAGGCTTGGTTAGTGGTGGCCTCTTCTGAAAGCCTCTGAAAGCTGTAAATATAGACAACAATGATAATCCATACGAGGTCAGACATGGGCGCTCTTGGCGTGGTTGGCCGACGGGGCATTGGGCGCCGTGCTGTTCCCGTTCTTGTTGTAGTAGAAGCGGTTGCTGTCCTGGTAACTTGCGTGTGACTCGGTGACGCAGCAGGTCAGCATGCAGCCGCCCAGCAGAGAGAAGATGGTGGCGACCCAGCCCGTGTACAGCGAGAAGCCGAAAGACATCAGGCCCTGCTCGTAGTACGCTCCGATGGGGAACCAGATGGTGGACACCAACCCGCAAGCTCCTGCAGAGGACAGAGCCGGGGTCATATACACTGTGCACGTGTAGTAGTCATTATAACACCAGAACTCCCAGAGCAGTCAATTTGACGGCTTATCTACACCCTTTGTCTTCATAACTTCTGTTTATATATGTAGTGTATTTCCATGTAATTATGTCGATGAAATTATCTCGACCCTAGACTGGTCCGAGACTCCTTCAGTGCAATCTTCAGAGCCAGCGCTAGTTACCATAGCAACACACGTTTACTTGCAGCAGCTAGCATTTACTTATTTTTATTTTTTTTTCAGAAATCTATATTTTTGAATAGAGATATAAAAGTTGCTCTTTATCAATGTGAATACTATAGTTGAGTGCATTTAAAGCTGGGGTCCTTAAAGGTCCACTCCCCCCCACTCGCCTCTTCACCAAACTAAACATCCAGCCTTTTCTTTTCTTTGTCACAACAGTAAATTATTTTCCTCATAAATAATATACTGTGTTTGTCCGAAACAGAAAGAGCCTTGTTAAAGTAAAACGTTTTGAACAAATCAGACCACAACATGCATCTTAATTGTACTATAAACCATTCTCCATCCATCCATCCATCCATTTTCTACCCTTTAATCCATTTCTGGGTCAGGGGGGTGACAGTCAGAGATGCCACCCAAGTCTCATAGCACCAGCCCCTCACTGACCCTCTGCAGGTGGTGAGTCCACAGGAGGACGGCTGCTCGCTGAGCGGCCTTGATCTTACAGTGGGGGCTTTTTGGGCAAAGTGGGGTTAAGTGTCTTGCCCAAGGACACAACAACAGCAGTCATCAGTGGGAGTCGGTGGAGAAGGTGTAGAGGTGGGAATTGAACCCACGACCTTCAGGCCTGAAGGCCAATGCTCTACCAACTGAGCTACTGTTGCCCATATAAACCATTCTATCTTTTGTAAACTGTGGCCTGAAAGTCACTATTTGATGCTTTTCCTAATTGTAAAACGAGAGCTGATTGGGTGAAGGAGGATGGTCAACCAAACTATATTCACAGGTGCACTGACATCTGGTTCAACTGTTGACATGACGACCCTGGACTGGCTGTAAAAAAAAGTCTTGATTTTCTAAAGCTGGGCTCTCCATCCTCCTCAAAGGATTTAGAAATGACAGACACAGAATAGTAAATGTCCAAAATGATTGTAAATGCATACTTTGTGAAATAATAGATGGATAATAGTCATAATGCAACGATAGGAATAGTTTAACAGTTTTATTCGGCAACTAATGCAACCAAATGTCAAATTCTAATTTTCGAAGGTTCAGTTTGTAGCCATAATTATGTCCAAAAAAAATAATAGTACTTATTTGGATGCTACACCGTTTTTCTTGCTCTTCCAATAAAGTGCAAGATTGTCTAAAAAATCTTTCAGGAAATGTCCAACTTTGATCTGTTTGTGTATGCATTTTAGAATCCATGGTTGTTCAATTGAGTGTCTAGTTATTATATATACCTATCTAAGTTCCTATGTTATTTTTGTTCTGAAGAATTAGCTTTTCTGGAATGAAAGTTTGAAGACGGCTGCTTGCATCAACACCAGACTGAAAGAATTGTGGGAAAAATTGTTTTTTTTTTTCCATTATTTGTGATTTTATTCTGTTTTTAATGTATTTATTGATGTCTCTGATTTGTGTGATACTATGTGGGTTGTGAGGCGCTTTGAGTGGCCTTGTGTTGGAAAGGCGCCATACAAATAAAGTTGATTGATTGATTGATTGAAAAACCCCCCAATAAATATACAAGATTTCAGATACACGCTCGTGCCTTTCTCTGCTGAGAGTATCATCCTGTTCTATTAAAATCAACAGAATCCAATGGAAAAATAATGTTCTATTAAAATCAACAAAGGCCAACGGAAAAGTGACGAGCCGGGTGCAGGTGAGTTTGGGTTCTCACTGAAGTAAAAAAACATTGGAAACGGCTGCATTTATAAGCTCTCAGTGGAGCGAGTTTCCAGGCGGACTTGAGCCGCTGGGGTGTGGACGCTTTAGGCGGGGGGCAGGAATGTGCAGGGGTCTCTGTGTGGGAAGGAAAGCGGACATTTTGCACATCCTCACCCATCAGCTGCTTCTCATTTGGGCTCAGAGAGGTCAATGTCACGGGCTTCAGGCAGGAGCGTGAAACAACACCGTGCACCTGTGCTAACAAACCCCACTATCTATGACTGGTTTGAACATCTACTTGATCTGTTTCTGTATCGTTACTACTGAAGCCAAACCCACGACTTTAGCTCCTTTAAACTCGCTCTAAACGCTTCCCACACTATACACCTGTGTAAACCGAACTCTTAACTAACGCTTTCTGTGCGTGACCTTCACAAATGCTTTGGATTTATTGTGAAGTGTAGGGATTTGGAAGACATATTTGTTATTAAAAGTTTAGAAACAGCAGTGATCTCTCTCTTCTTTTTTCTTTCTTTCTTTAGATCTATGTCTGATCTGTTTATTACATTTACAGAGCTGAAAAGGAGAATTCTGCACTGTTACAGTCAAAAAAACAAATCATTCTAACAAAAACATTGGCTAATTCCTAAAATAAATGTCTCTGGCCCAATGTTGAAGCCTAAACAAAATAACTCAAAAATATCTCAAATTTCAAAAGTAAAAAAATGGTTTATATATAATATTTTTTTGGCATACTATATAAACAAAAATGGGACTGGGTTAGGTTTTTTTAATTATTCTTAAGGAATTGAGCAGACATAGCTGTATGAGAAAAATGGGTGCTTCTGTAGTAGTAGCAGTGAGTATAGTAGCAGTTCCAGTATTGTTATTTACCCATTATGGTTTTAGTGGTATTGTGCATTTTAGCAGATGGAGTAGAGTCAGTATAGGAGTAGTATTGGTAGTATCAGCATCAGTAGCAGTAGTAGAAGCAATAGTAGTACTGGCATAGTGACAGTAGTAGTAGAAACAGGAGTAGTAGTGGTAGCTGTGTAGTAGTAGTAGCAGTAGCAGCAGCAGTAGCAGTATTAGCAGTAGTATCAGTAGTAGCAGCAGCAGTATGTACCCATGATAAGTGTGATGACGCCTCCGATCACGGTGCGTTTGTTCTTGGCGCTCTGAGGCTCGTTGCCCACGTTGATGCAGTGCAGAGACATGAGGATGACACCGAGGGCCGGCAGTCCCAGGATGGAGCCCGTGATCATGAGGGCGCGGGTGGTCTGGATGTGGGCTGCGTTGGACAAACATGAAATAGACAGTAACATTGAGAGAAGTGGCAGCGACATGCATTGGTAAATATAGCTAAGACAACAATGAAGTAAAGATGAGGATTTTGTTTTCATTTCAGAGTAATTAGTGAGAGTCAACATAATGGCTCATTACCTTGAACAAATTCACTATAATCAGTAATGTGCTGGGAATTTGGTAAGAGTTTGAAATAAGCAAATAAACACAAAATAAATAAAAATACTTCAAGGCTATGTTCTTTATGTATGTCTATGGTAAAGTGGTAAAGTAATGTATTTCGCTAGTTATCCTGATTAGTACAGGCTATTTCTAGATCCAACATTGAATTACCTTAAAGCTGGTGCTTAGAACCACAAATATATGATGAAATCTATGCTTAACTATTCAAGTATGAACAAGAGTTTTCTAACAAGATAAAGATGTCATTTAGGGAACTTATTTGTTCACAACATTTTACTTTTACAATCCTCTTTCTATTGAGACAAATGTGTAATATTCATAGGAAAAAGTTTGATAGTAGTGATTCTTTAGCTTTGCGTCTTTTAGCTCCCACTAATATTTATTCTGTTTACACACTGAGGTGTGTAAACCTTTGCTGTTTCTCATTCGGGAATGCTGCTCAGAGGTTTTGGACGTGTGTAGTTTTGTAAAGAAAAAAGAGATTTCTTTATTTTCAAAAGTGATATACCCCAGCTTTAAAGTCAGAATCAGAAAATGTGTACTAGTTTACTTCCAACATGGTATTTAAATATCCTGAGTTCAAATTCCTCAAATTCCTCAAAAACCTCAAAGTTTTCTGTAAAAATACTTGGTAAGACAAGCTGGAGTACTTACATTACTCTTTTTGTCCTATCAAAAAGTCTTCTTGAGTAAAATGTTGTGAACAAATCAGACCAACATATTGTCTATATCCTATTCCAGACACGTTATCTTTCACATGCTTGTAAGAAAGAGCTCTGCGGGTCACTATATGACACTTTGGGCTGAGATATTTCACTTTTATGTCTGAAAAAGCTGATCTAAAGATATAACAGAGGCCAAGATTACATGCACGTGAAAACTAATGATGGAACCAAACTGTTTTAGAGCCAGGAATAGTTACATGAATAGTAAAGCTTAGTTTGGTTTGTAAATTAGGGATCCTTTTCCTTAAAATAAAACAAATAAGAAATATTACAACAGCTTCCCACGTACCTGGCAATTCAAGCATCTGCGACAGAGAGAAGCAGTGGTAGACCCCAGTGGATAACACACAGTCCGCCCACGGCCCCTTGGCTCCCAGCTCGTCCATCTTCTTACAGGTGTTCAGGCCATATTTACAATGGATCACCCAGTCATTAGTCACTGTGGCTATTATGATGCCCAGCCAGCCCAAAACACACAGGATGAACGCACATAACTGGAGCCCGGAGTTTGCCATAATGCCAAATAAGTATCAAAGTGGATCAAAATGAAAAAAAGTGAATGCAGTTTTTATATAGTTGGAGTTGTAAAGTCCTTGGTGTCCCTCCTGAAAGCTGCAACTCGGGTTGAAAGTATACACTTTTCTCATCTGATCAGTATTTATAGAGAGTGTGGAGCCAAAAAAGTGCCCAGCTTTGACTTTGGACCAATCAGAGGAGTCGCAGAAACGAGGCACAAAAAACAGTCTGGAAAAGTGTTGCATCTGCAGAAAAGCACTGCCTCCTATTCATATGTGAGGGAATGGATGGTGATAAGTGAGAGGCTGCCATCTGCTGGACAAGAAAGGGAATGCGAGACCACATGCTGCCTTTTTTCTTAGACCATATTTTGAGTACATGCTGCCTTCATCTTTTACCATATTGAGACCATTTTTCGTTACTTTGTATTTATATTTGGCTGAGTGAGGGCGGTCCTCTCTGTTTCACTTCTTTGTCTGAAAAAAGTTGATCTAAAGATGTGACTAAGGCCAAATATTAATTTCGAAACTAGTGATGGAACTGTTTTGAGAGTAAGCAACTAAAAGGTTTAGTAAGGTTCATTGTGTTTGGAAAGTGTTAAAAGCAGGTACCCAAACCCTAATGACAATGGGGAAACTGTTTCAAATCTAAAATGTTGACCGTTATTGTGAGCTTTAACATATGGACAAATGAAGCAATAGACATAACAGAGAAATATTCACCTTAACAACCTGTCAAAAAGCACAAATCCTTCCTTTCATCACAATTTTCTTATTGTTTCCCCTTTCCATTAGTTTAATGTTTTGGGTCTGAATAAACTCCCACAAGGTTAATGCAAAAATGCATAATGTAAATGTTTTATACCGAAGTAAACCTCTAAGTGCATTCCTAAGTGATAATGTGTTCGGTCGAAATTAATGAATGAAGTCAAATTGTGACACACACTGGGCTCTTTCCTAAAAGTGTGCAAATTATAAAAAAATAAAAAAATAAAGTAATCAGGTAAACTCCGCCTGTTTTGGCGGTGTTTGTCCTAAATATTTAACTTCTGGGCTCAAACTTGGGCACAACTAATATGCATTATTAATGGGAGGGACAATTTAGGTACCCCAACTTTTTCTTCAACAAAGATATTCTTCTTGTTTGGAACCTGAACCGTGGGGGGTGATCTGACGGTGATCCCCGGTGCAAATCTTTGTATCCTGCTGGAGAGGCAGCACCACAAAGCGGCCACAGTTACAGAGACGGAGGATGTGGAACCCTTTTCAAGCTCGTACCCAGCGTTTCCTCGCACTATTTGAGAAGGACAAACTTAGTGGAACTGAATTTTTGTATGCTGCCACAGATAGAAAGTCCAGCAGCATAACTTTCATTAGGCCTACACAAATTTTAATTCTATAACAAAATTATATTTACAATTACAGTACACCTCCATTAACTCAATTTCTTTCGGTTGTAATTTTCAAACAACCGAAAATGATGAGTGTCTTAAGAACCCAACAATAGAACATTTAATCACGTGACCCTGATACTATAACAGCAAGATGATTTAATAAATTCTCCCCCAGTAAAGTGTGAAGATGTGAAGATGTGCCTGCTTTTTTACACCTATAGATCTTTTAACTTGGTGTTAGAAGTGGAGGAAGTGCAGTTGATTTGTAATTTTGTTGTCGCGGCACAGGCACAAACAGAGTCCATTAAAATGTGCTGATTGTTTTGTGTGAATAGAGAGCCCAGTGGTGCATAAAGAGAAAGAATGAATTTTCATTTATTGGCCTGAACCATTTAGTATCACGCGTTGTCATCTCTTCATCAGAGCAAAACAATGCACTTTTGTTTCATGATGTTTTCAGTTCTGCAGTCCAATCTTTTTTGGAATGATTTTGTTCTGGGGGGATGAACATTCATATGAGCTGTATTTTAGTTTTAAATGTTTGGCTCTACAGTGTATAGTTCTTGAGCCTTCTCAGGTACCATCACAACAAAAACACACAGAGAGTAAAGTGTTTCAATGAAAACACACAGAGTTAAATCAAAAGTCAATTTACTTTTGAATGCACTGGAAACATCAGCAAGTCCTTAGTGTCTCTGAAACAGTTGTTGTTTTGCGTTTTACATTTGTTATTTTTATTGCTTTTTTCTGCCTGAGATGTTGTTGCAGTACAGTGTTCATGGTTTTGCACTGCACTCCAGACCGGAGCAGAGAGGATTCATGGTCTGAACCAAGCGTATCAGGTGAAAATCCACTTGAAGAATGCTAACTTTTTGAAAAATGCTAATAAAGCATTAAGCATTTTACTTTGGACCAGAGCAGAGAAAATGGTCCGAACAAAGCGGCTACTCCACCTCTGCTGCTGTGACCTGAAGGGCTGTTGCATTTTGATACTATTGTAAGCTACTTTTAGAATTATCAAATTATTTGTTTTGTTTGTTTGGATGGACACCTACATTTCTCCTACAGGGATCAATAAAGTATCCATCTATCTAAAACCTTATTAAGATTTTTAAGTTGAAAATACTAAAAACAAGTGAAATGCTCTCACATAAAAAACTGTTTGGGAAGAAGAAATATCTGGGCAGACAAAAAACTCGACATTTTGGCTTTAACTGATGAATGATAAGAAATGAGCCCCATTTTAGTGACTTCAAACTCTTAAATGTCAAAAAGACTTGAAACAAGACGCTCAAAGCCATAATTTAGGCCATATCAAAATCAATCAATTTAATTTTTTAGAGCTCTTTACAACTCTCAAAGCGACCAAAGTGTTTCACAATAAAATACATTAAAAAAAAAAATGCATTCAAACAATAACAAAAAGCATAAAAAAACACATGGGATGATGTAATGTGATGATGTCATGATATTGGAATGTGTCGTGGTTCTATGGAACAGCCGCATCTTCTAATCTCCATGGTAACCTGACTTTGGCCCCAGAGGTCAGGAACACAGATATGCTCATTCCTGTATTGTTGGTTGAAGCGGTAACACATATTTTGGTTTGCTCTGGTCTGTTCTGTTCGTTTTGTGGATTTGTGAATCTTATCTCGTCCAGAAGTTATTACAAACGTCTGCGACTTTGCATCAGGTAAGACTCACAGAGGATTGGGGCTTTTAGACTTTGAAAACTGTGATTTTTGGGAAATACTCATGATTGTGTTTGAAGATATTTCTAAACCTGTTTTAAATCCCGTTAAAGCTGGTATACCTAACTCAAAACCCAGACAATAATGAAATAGGCAGTTTGTTGGATACAGTTGGTGCAATTTTCACATCGTGTTTGATTGGCCTTATCTTTACATCAGCTTTGTGCTTTTCTTTGTAATGGGGCAAACAACATGTAATATTCATCGAAACAAATCAAGTTAGAGACCCCAGCTTTAAATCAGCTTTTGTTAAGTGCACTTTAAACAGCAGCGTATGAGACAGAGCTTGAATATAACGCTTCCCATGACAGACCCATTGGTGGAACGGCGAGTTTCTGATCCGGAGACTAGCCGCTCCACACTACCAAATTTATACTATAATAACATAATCAGCAATATAAGTAGTTACCCTACATATTGGTACCCTGTTTGTGAGATCCGCGTACATAGACCCGATTTATCAAACTCGTACTCTGTGATTGATCTGCAATACGCTAACTTTACTGCTGCTCCGCTCAAAGCGCTTCCCCCCACTCCCGCACCCCCTCTGTCCCTGCTACCCCCGTTGCTATAGTGACTTCAAGGACAATCGAGCTCCCCTACGCCCCACGCTTGCGATAAAGCGTCCCGTGCATGCACCAGACTATTAATTTAGTCTCAAATCCCGACTTTTCGTACGGGTACTACGCATCTCCTACAACGTGTCGCCCCGCTTGGCCAGCGGGCAGCGTGGAATGTGAAGCCGCTTAAACTCTTAAGAGAAAGCGCAAAATCTTATTCTTATAACTCCACTGTACACCGTGTCCAGAACACGGGCGTACGGATCTACTCTGTGTCCCTTTGTGACCCAAGTCACACAAGATTTTAACCGAGTATATCTGTGTAAAAGGCTGTAAATGGCAGCTGTGTGAATGTGATGCTAATGTTCTGCTAAAGGTGGCTAACGCTAACTCTGTCTCACCACTCTTCCTCCTGCTACTCTGCTGTCGTACATACACACACCAAGACTGTACTGCACAATACAGACAAACACCATCCCACCACTGTGATTACGTGCTTGTGCGAACTGTATAACTCGCTCCAGACTTTCGTGTATAAACTACTGCTAAAACGTGCCACGCTCGAAAGCTAATGGCTAGCTACCCTCCTTTGTTCTAGCATAAGGCTAACTTCCGCCCGGGCCCCGCTAGCCTCAAAGCTAACTCTGACAACGCCGTTGCTCCTACTACTGCTCCCACTATAAGCTGCTTCTCTACCGTTAAAACTAGTGCCACTCTGTTTAACCGAACTGCATTCGGTCACCAAAACTCATTGTTTATTGCCTAAACTGCTGCTAAAATGTCCCGTTGCCGGCAAGCTACATGCTAGCTACGCTCCTTTGTTTTTAGCATACGGCTAACTTCCGGCCCTGGCGCGCTAAAAGCCAGAGCCGCATCCCCACTGCTAATACCATTCTGCTGCATTGTCTACCTGCTGTCTAACAATAACACTACTTACTATACTTCGTACTATCCTATCCCACTCTGATTCTGTGTTCTGACGATCATAAGGCGCCAGCCGTCTCGGCATACTGCTAAACGGGCCGCACCTCTTTTATTGTCTAAACACAAAATTGCTTTCCGGTCCCGGCACTACTTCCGGGACCACATTGCTGCTGTCTTGACACTTCATTCTGCACCACGTCTTTAATCACCAGTGAATGTGGCTCTAACGTGAAACGACTTGGCTATACCTCCGTGCTGTTTTGTTACTCCAACTCAATAACCACATTACTGCCATACATTGGTAAAGCTAACACTCTGTTCTGTTTCTCCCCTTTAACGTTAGTGTAGTAACTGATCATATGCCGTGTTTC